GTGTATATAGAATAGAAAAGAACAAAATAGAATTTGATTGCATCGGAACGCCCTTTTAGGGCGGCCATATACAATATGTAAAGATGAAAAAGTTATACACGGGCATCATTTTACAGACAGACAATATAAACCATACATACAGTATACATAATAGGCTATAGAAAATAAAAACAGGACAAAAAAAAAAACATGCGCGCATAAAATAGATACGGGTAATATAATTAATATTATGTAGACTTATAAATCACAAATTCTGCAACACTGATCGGGGCAATGATGCTTGATGGATTGAAGAGATTATTAAAACAAAAGGTTTGATTAGTAATGTTTACTAATATATATATATATATATATATATATATATATAATATATATAATATATATATTGTGTTCGCAAATCCATAAGAAAACACTGTTCTGATTCAGTTTTGTTTGTACCGCGGGAGAACAAACCGTCGAGTCGAAGCGGTCGGAAATAGCCGGCGGTTAACGATTGGGGTCAAGGACGTTGAATGATAGCGATAGGCCGACCAAATATTTTTATTTTACTTTTGCGTGAAAAAAAGTTGAATGATAGCGATAGGCCGACAAATATTTTTATTTTGCTTTTTACTTTTACTTTTGTTTTACATTTCAAATTACTTTTAAAAATGATTTTAGTTTTCATTTGTGTTTTGATTTTAATTTACATTTTGGTTTTACTTTTACTTTTACTTTTACTTTTTTTTTTATTTTTGCTTTTGATTTAATTTTTAGTTTTGATTGAACTTTTGCTTTTGGTTGAACTTTTGCTTTACATTTCAAATTACTTTTAAAAATGATTTTAGTTTTCATTTGTGTTTTGATTTTAATTTACATTTTGGTTTTACTTTTACTTTTACTTTTTTTTTATTTTTGCTTTTGATTTAATTTTTAGTTTTGATTGAACTTTTGCTTTTGGTTGAACTTTTGCTTTACATTTCAAATTACTTTTAAAAATGATTTAAGTTTTCATTTGTGTTTTGATTTTAATTTACATTTTGGTTTTACTTTTACTTTTATTTTTATTTTTGCTTTTGATTTAATTTTTAGTTTTGATTTAACTTTTGCTTTTGGTTGAACTTTTGCTTTTAATTTACTTTTGATTTTGATTTGCTTTTCATTTAATTTTATTTAGGTTTTTAAAGAAATTTTGTTAAATCATGAATGATAACGATAGGCCACCATACTTCTGTGTCGTACTTTTGGTTTTGACCCCTCTGACTTTGTACCGTTGATTACAGATTAAACATCCATAAGTGTACAAATGTGTTGTTATTGATGTGTTCCCATTTGAATATTGTTCACAATAAGAAGCAAAATAAATAAGATATGTTTACAGGATCATTTTGTTATACGAAAAACTAAGTGATGCGTTTTCCATGGCGCTCAGTAATATATACGAAACCTCCGCTAATATAAGAATACTGGGCCCTGTTTCACAAAAACTTAAATCTCCTTAAAATCGTCTTAAACTAAAATTCCATCCTAACTTAAGATAGATGCGTTTCACAAAACGATTTTAAGCATTTTAGATAAAATCCACTAAAATAATATTGTAAGTTAAAATTGTATCTTAACTTAAAATAGTGGCGTTTCACAAAACTATTTTAGGGACAATTTTAACTAAAATCAGTTTTAACTTAGGTTAGCCGCCACCCTTTCCTGACTTAAAATCACGACATTAACACACATTGATTAGAGCTACGTTGTAAGATCTATTGCGACATATAGATATATTTGGAATAATGATAATATTGCCAATGGCCCGGGTAATATAATTTAAACATACTATCATTCACAAAAATAATTTTCATTCAATTTCTTTTTATTGCATGGGAAATATAGCTGCGGCCCACCCGTTTATTTTATTGTAAGGCAATATAAGCAATTAGATATCGCCCCAAATTATAACCCCAAGAACAAAAAAACCCCTCAAAACCCCAATAATCAAAACTCTTTGCTACAATTTTATATATTACCACATGATTCAAGTATAAATTATACTATTTTCAAATAATTAATAGACCAAAAAAAAAAATCTAAAAAAAAATCTAAACACACTTCATATCTAATGTCTCTAAAAAATATCTTTTAGGCCTACAATTGTTTAAAATGAGAGAGAGAGAGAGAGAGAGAGAGAGAGAGAGTGGGGTATAACGTCCACTGGACACAAACTAGGTCATTTCGGGACCAACGCATGGTTTAATTTTATTTGAATAATTCAGTGGTGCGTAGAGGTCTTTAGTAGTGGGAGGAAACCGGAGGACCCGGAGAAAACCCACGAGGTTGGACGGGCGACCCTATTTATGATTTATGATTTTGGGGTTATGATGATTTATATAGGAGCCAAGGGTAATTTATATTGGGAAGAAATCATTTTAATATAGTAAGTTAGATAGGCATTATCCAATAAGTAGTGGGGCACTTTGGCATTTAAAAATTATTATTGAAAGGGTCCATGGAACATTGGTTATTTCGTGTATTAGTCATTAAATACTTTTAAAATTCGACAATACTTTAGTCTAGATTAATCGTTTGAGTCAGAAATATCACATGTATGTGACAATTTCTCAATCATATCGAAAATACCATAAAACTACTAAATTCAAGCGATTTAGTTTATCGATACGCATTATTTCCATATTGAAGCCTGCGAGTAAATCAAATGCCAAGGTCACAAAAGCGACATGCAAGTTCAAGGCCAACCAACTGATACATTTCAAACTCAAAGCGAATAACCCGCAATAAACATATTTATTTCATCTCTCTACGACTGTCTGACCATGTGCAGACATTGTTCCAACGTATGTAACTCTCCTCATTGGTATTGTAACGGTTAGTTCAACCTGGCAGCAGTTTTCAGTTCCGAAGCGTGTATATGCTTACACCCTAAGTGCCCTCGCCGGAATTGTGCACTGCGTTATAAGTTACAATCGATCTTCGTGAAACGCATAAAATTTTAAATTACAGTTTGATTTTAGTTAAAATCAATTTTAGTGATTTTAGTTTAAGTTTTTGTGAAACGGTTCCCTGAATATCCTAATAGAGTGGTTGGACAGGTTAGATACTTTCGGATGTAATCTTGCGGTACTATCAATATGCACATGTGTAAATCCTGCCATAGAGACAAACCGGCTTACACTGGCCAGTCGGTTATACTATCCGGATTTAAGTTTGCTTGATTACCAAATAATACAACTTATATACACGTAGCGTTAGAAATATTTTTATACATTTATGAAAATACTTACAATCTGATTACTGCTTGATAAATAACAATAAACTTTATAGATCTTATAAATAATGGAAATTAGATATACATGCCATGTAATATACCAAACTTTAAAAAATATGATTCTTCATATTATGGTTAATAAATTGAAATAAATACTATAACATGATAATTACTGAAGTCCATTATAGAACGGAATAAAACATTTTATCCCTAAATTTTACGGAAATTCCTGGTCATATCACCGTTTATTCCGTAAAATAACAGAATTAAGTCTATTATAGAAGGGAATAAAACATTTTATCCCTAAATTTCAGGGAAAGTTCCTGTTTAATACTGAATATTCCATAGAAAGACATAAAACACGTAATTTGAATAAATAATTCGCACTTTTAACGCCATTTCTCCAAAAAAGGCCTTAACAGAAAAAAAAGTGTTCAACTACGGAGTTCGGCCACATTAAAAATGGACATTTTTTACAGTGTAGACGTCTGGATATTCCAGTCTACATTGAGAAATTTTATTGTACGTACTCTCCAGATAAGAATATGAGGTCACCGTTTAAGATGACTTGTGGAATATGTCTAGCCTCGTTCTTCGAGTCCGTTGTTACAAATGGCACTGAAACGTCGTGTACCAATGATAAAATGTTTATTTTGTCTTAAATATAAGATATCAGAAGCCCATCTTTTCCCGGTAAGATCAGAACATCAATAATTCGTGTTTTCAATGTTGAAGATTTTGGATGATATTGAGTTTGAGATTTAGCTACTTTAAATAGGTTTTGCAAACTTCGTTCATATTGAGGTCGGATACTAAAACCAAATCGTCCATACTATGTATATACCTCCTCGCAAGAAAAACAAAAAATCACTTGTTTCAGAGGTCATGTTAACGATTTTTTCACTTAAGCGACCTAACTATATAATGTCAATAAAAAAAATTGAATTCGGTCTATATCTACCCTTAGTACATCTGTTGGTCACATATCGGAACTGTCATCATTATCAGTACTACATATGGATCACATTAAGATCTTTAAGTATTACGGAACAAAATGAGGAAAATGTTTTTGAACAGGCGGAGTCGAAACTGCCAGTAAGCGCGAAAGCATGATTTGATTCGTGTGGAACTCAAAAAATGAGTAACAAAAATATTTCCCATTTCCCGTCTTTTCTATTATAAAAATAAGTTCTACTTAGTCACGCAGGATACATCATATATTTCTTGAAAGGAATTATATTGACACTGTAAAAGTAATGGATTATTAACGAAAAACGCCTACCTTGTAATAATAACATTTCATTAACTAATTAGTAAACATAATTTGGAGCCTTCGGTATTAATTAGAATTTAGTTGCATGTACTTTATTTTACTGAAAAACATCATGTTGGGCAACTCCGATATTAAGAAATATTAGCCTGAAATATAATAAAATATTAGGTACTCTTTATACCGCTATATATTTATTCAGGCAGTAGTAATCTTTTAAACTGGCCTCTTCGCCTACATGTGTGTTCATTGTAAGAAAATCTATCATTGTTAATGGATTTCATTTTGAAAACCACACAGCACTTTAGCATTCCGAAGTTTTCACACTGAAGTCATAAGTTCCTGTCCACGTAGGTGGTCATACACACTCATATAATTGGACAACAGCCATGGCGTCGATATTTGATTGACAGGTGAAAGTTACAGATAGTATTGATCACAGAATTATTTCTCATTGCCTTGCTGGTACCGCTAAACTCTCAACTATATAAGATTTAGATTACCGCCGTTAGAGGTTTATGGTGAGCTACCGCGTCCAGGCAAAGGTTTTGTAAAAAGGTGTAACTAGAAAGAACATAGGATACCAAGTAAAATCTTCATACTACCAAACTAACAGTAAGTTAATAATTTTCGCTTTCTTTCAAATATGTTTTGTGTGTGGTTTTCTGAATGTTCCGTGACGCTTTCAATTTAAGAGGACGCTGACGCTGGGCCTTTTTCTGTCAACGCATTTCCTTTGTTGAACTACACAAAGATTTAAAACTTGTTCTCTATTATGCATCACCGTAACAGTTAAAGGTCGTTTCTTTTCTTTAGTTTACAGCCATATCAGGATTCCTGAACAATATCACGTAAATCTCAGAATATGTAGATATTTGATATAAAACCTGTATTAAAAATATTTGAATTTACGTTCCCATACGGTACTTTCGCATTCGACGTTTATGAATTTAAGAAAATATGTAAATATCTATATTTAAAGTCGATTCGCACACGTTTTTTTTTTGTAAAAGACAACTTTCTCATGAACAACTCGGTACAAAAAATGTATACCGAAAATAAATATATTATTTTACAAATTATATCTTATATGTTTCAATCTTTTGTAGTACTGTTGTATGTCATCCTTCATAACTGACTTTGCAGTAAACGAATAGTTGCTTATGTTTTGCTTTCAATTGTGTTCACTGAATCATACATTTCATTCCCTCAGTTTATCTTGAACCGTACATATAGTTTATAAAAAAATATATTTTATTTTCATTTGTCTTTTGTTATAATTTAAATAAACCGACAAAAATATATTCTAAACGGCTTCTTGAGATAACAGGTTTCAAATCTCCTTTTATGACAAACGTAATTTTTCCTGACACATTAATTATTAGAAAGCCATTCATATAAATATATGAGCCAAACAGATACAAAAGTAACTATCGGAGAAATATACTTCAATTAACTGAGATAAGTATTGATGGTGACATTTGCCAGTGTTTAACAGATATTTTGGGACTAAAGATATCTATGTAACGTTAGAAGTTGACCTAAGGATCATGAATGTCTGTACAATCTGTCTTTCCAACAAAGTCAATATTTGTTGCATCTAGAGGCTGCCATAGAAATGCGAAAAACGTCACGTATATGTTGGTAGAATAATGGCAAGCACCGTGTTGAAGGTTTTCTGTCACATAACGTACAATTCAATTTTAACACATTTAGAAGAAATCACTCCCGAGTACCGATATGACATTTTCTGGATCCTGGGCTTTGTAAACCTTAGAAATTACTATGACGACTATTTCACACTGTTGAGGTTGATTCCATATTGATATATATTGTTTACTCAATAATCATTTTCTGGTATAGACTAAATTCGGAAATGAAAAATGGTGAAAACTTTACGCCACCATTTACGCGGTTTAGTATACATGTATATCCAATATGTTGGTTAATTTTCATTTTCGCAAGGCGTGAATATTAAATCAGAGAGACATCTCAAGCGTTATATATAAATTAATGTAAAACGACGCTGTGGTAAGATTTTCTTAACACGTCTAAGGAGGATGAATATAACGTGTGTGTTTTCTATTTACAGTTCTTAACAAGTTCTTTATTTCCAAAATTCACGATTTCAATTACATTCTATCATACCTTGGACTATTGTATTGATTGATATCCATTTGTAGTACAAAAGTAATACGTTATATTCATTAACAAAACGAATCAAAAATGATGTTCATACAAATATATGTGTTGTGAAACGAAGGACTTAGCTTAGCCGTTTTCATTTTCAACTATAGCTACGTCAGTTTTAATTTATAAAGTAGGAATCCGTGTCTGTATAAGTTCAGTGTAAGGAAATAGCACAAAGATGTTATTCATTCACTTAGAATAAGACATGAATTTTAAACCAATATTTACGACAGTGGGTCGCTTTACTACTTTTTAAAAGAAATATTGATTTATTTTTTGTTTTTAATGAATCTTAGAATTGAGAGCAAATACATAAATTACGGATAAAACCTAAAGACAGCCCTTATTTCAAAGCCATTGAGTCTGGTATTGAACTATCGGTGGCGATATCTCCCATTATTTTGGATGTTCACAGTTGTCTTTTAAAAAACAGAAATCCAGTATAACAGAATAGGAATACATGCTCGTTTTATTTTGTATTTCCTTCTCACACTTGGGTTTGTTTTCTGGGCGCAATAGGGTGGTATTCTATATTGAAATGTTTCATGAAACACGTTGAGATTGAAAAGTTGAAGATTTGCGTTTGTGCCATTAGTATTATGCACTGTAACATCTGAAGACACTATGATTTCGTATAGGTTAGAATTAAAAAGTCAAAATTGTTGATTTTGTTTACCTGGACATAGACATTCAGATAACGTACATCTGAACAAAAATATTAAAAACTTAAAAATAAAACAGTCCTGGTTAATTATAGGTGTTAAGTTTGCACGAATGGTCCGCACTGTATCTAGTTTATAAAAATCTTGCCTTTACTGGTCAAAATCCTCTTAAATTTATTGTCCTGTCAACTTTCAATATAACTAAACAAATCATCACATCGAATAGAGCTGGCCGGTCCGCGCGGGACATTAATCTTCGTACCCTAAGTGAACTCTACCGTACAATTGTTACAAAAGAAAAAATCCACGAAACCTTATAATAAAAACCAGGTAAATCGAACAATTAGTTTTGTTTCGAAATAATTGTTATCGTTTTTTTTTATTTTTTAAAAAAACATGAAAAACAAATAATATAATGATTAGAGTTGATATTATATGGAGCTTTTTCAGTCAGTGGGAATGAAAAACTGCAGGAATATCTAAAAATATTTATAAGTGTCAATAATTATGCGATAGTTAGAGAGAATAAATAGCCATATTTTACAATTATGAAATTAGATATTAAACATTATATTTACACAACAAACATTGATGTAACAGTTTTAAGGAGAAGGGCTAATATTTTTATTAGATTTAATGAATACAAATCGTTATGTTGATCGACATATTCTCATTATGTTGCCACATGATGTTTGATAGAAACCTACATGGAACAAAAATCTTTATACTGTAAAACGAAACTAGAGGTTATTTACTGTAGAAATGTAGGCTAACCAGATTGCCGAGCATTCTGTAAAGGGTAATCTATATTTTATAATAATATATGATTAGGGAATGTCTTTATTTTAATATTACATTTTTGCATGTCAAAATGAAGTATCTACCGCTCTGTTTTAAGAGTTAAATGGTTTGCTATTAAATTCAATGGACGATACACAATGTCATTTTGACAGTTATTCTATTTTCAACTGAATGAATTTAATTGTAAATGTGAAAGATGAAACTATATATATCTGTACCTAATCTGCTTTCTTATGTTAATTAAGTTATCCAGCCTTATTTAGGTAATAAATTTTGACGTTGTTATATATAGCCCAGCCTCGTGTGTAATTGCGTACAGAATTTATGTAAAAGGGATTTTGCAGGCTCTTGTCTAATTTCGTTCAATTTTTCTTTTGTTTAAATGAATTTTAAGATTGATTTCACATTTGAAGGACAGGGAAATAAAAAATAATCAATATTTTGTTTGAACGATTTTCGTGAATATATGCAGCCATTACCGAAAAGCAGTATTTAGCGATATCTTTGTCAATAGATAATATAAGATAGATAAGATTTTATTGTATCTAAACACCCCATTAGAGGCAGCATACAAATACGAACAAAGCATTATACATAATGAATATAATGACAATGGCTAATACAAGAAACAATAATAATACATGTAAACAGTGATAATACTAATATCTTGGCTCAGAATAAAGTAATTTTGAGCACATTCATTTTGCACTATTTCCGAACTATCACAGCTCTTTATCTAAATCTTACAAAGTGTGTCTTTAAAATGGAGTAAACATACATATGGTTATAGATGTGGGATTATCGGATTCTTTCCTTAAAGGCGAGATAAACAAAGGCTGCAACAGCTTTTGCAACTGATGGGGGAGGGTTAAATATCGTTAAAAGGGTCAGTGGAATTGCTGGGGTATTATTGAAGGCTGGGTATAAGTGGCAGATACGTACATTGTCATATTTACCGCATTTGTAACCCGAGAACTTTATATTGCTACGATTTGGGGGGGGGGGGGGTAGAATGAAAACTGTTGCATGGCTAATGTTAAATTATGAATTTTTAACAGTAACAGAAGCTGTCGACTCCTATAAGCCTACCCTTACATGTTCTGTTGCGACGTCATCCGTTTGACGATCAGGACTCCATGTGAGAATATCAGAACGAAAACAATTTGAAGTAGATATCGTCTTTCGTATAAAGCATATTTATATTTAAATTGAACATACATGTTTAAGCAAAAACTCGTAAAGTATACTTCATAAGAAAGGCGATGTTCATCCGGTTCCAAATCTTGTTTTGGATATTTTTTGCGATTTTTCCACAAGGTGTTAAGAATAGTTGTTCGCAGACCGATTGCACCTAGGTGAGAACTAAAAAACAAATCTAAAACTAAGAAAACAAAACCCAAACAACAAAATATTTAAAAGTCGTATATGGGCAACCATACTGTTCGAATACTGTCTGTTGAAATTATAACCCCATTTGCAAATATTTTACAGAGAAAGAATATCGGAAGATTGCAAGAACAGTTGTTGTCAGGTGTATCTCTAAATAATTACTTCACTATAGGTTAAGGACACCTCTTAAATACAGAATAATTTCGTTTGCATTTCAGATCTATGATAGTTTTGTTCTCATAGGTGTCAAATACTATTGTCAGTGAACTATTTAAAATGATTTCATAGATAGGTATTTTTGTCGCTGTAATATATATTACTTTGTTCCACTATCACAAAATGAATGGGGGTTCATTATGATTTTTAATATTAAATATGGACTGTCAATGTCGGAATCAGTGTATCTAAGTTATAATCGATAAAATAAAATTCGATTATATTTATGTATTATTTTAATGTATTTTACATTGTGATATTAATGGTACCGTGGAGTTATATGAATTGCGATGCGTATCGTCTGGCAGATCCAAGCATTCTTTCAGTCCTAAATCAAATAGAGAATGGATTTAATAT